CCTTCCAAGCTCTGTAGCTCTCTGCTTGGTCATCAAATTTTGAGAGACTGGTGTTGATTAGCTCTCTGCTCACCATAAACCTGGCAAACTCAGACATATCTGATTTCTCACTGCTTGTTGCCATGACAACTTGTGATGCCCCTGGGGCATATGGGGCTGCCTGGCGTGAAAGGGTGAGATGCTTCCGGGTAGAATGATGTAGCTGCAGGGTTGAGCTGTCGTTTTAGCCTCTGTATATTGTGATGACTGCTGCTTGAGCTGTGGAGGTAGGCCAGAAAATGCCTGATAGCGATCTCGCTGTAACAACCGTCCTTGAGAGGGCACATCCGGGTAACGGTTATTAGGTTGCTCGGGTGCTGTGGGTGGCATGGTACCGCAGGCAGAGCTGACTTGGAGGTTTCAGTGTTGTTGGCTTGGACAGTACTGCAAAATGGGGGTGGCGCAGATACCTGATTCAGTACATAGTCGCTGGTGCGATCAACTGGATCATCTATCTCCTGTGGTAGTGAGCAGACTGGATCAAGACCTTGGCTCAGTGCTTGCTCAAGTAGTCTTACTTTAGCTAACGCAATTTCCTCCTGCATCTCTGATTCGAAAATCTTTATTCGAGCCTCTGCTTCCGCTTCTGCCTTCTTGGCCTCTGCTTCTGCCCTCTTGGCCTCTGCCTCTGCTTCCGCTTCTGCCCTCTTGGCCTCTGCCTCTGCTTCCGCTTCTGCCCTCTTGGCCTCTGCCTCTGCTTCCGCTTCTGCCCTCTTGGCCTCTGCTTCCGCTTCTGCCCTCTTGGCCTCTGCCGCTGCCCTCTGCCTTCTTGGCCTCTGCTTCTGCCCTCTTGGCCTCTGCTTCCGCTTCTGCCCTCTTGGCCTCTGCCTCTGCCCTCTTGGCCTTTGCTCCTGCCCTTGCAAGAGCTTCTTTTTTCTGTGAAGGAGCGTCTCGCTTTGGATTGCTCTGCGTTTATGCGGGCCTCTAGTAATCTGTCGCTCAAGGCTGAGCTTCTTGAGCACGATGATCTGTATGACCGAGAGGAATGTTTAGATGAATTTGATCTGTGTGATCTAGTTTCTTGCAAATGCGAGATACGGAGTTCCACTTTTACCTTTAACATCCAGCACCATGACGTCTCTTTGTCTGTATATTGATTCTGCCTTGCTCAGTTCTGATAGGGCTTCATCGATATTAGAGTCTTTTAGAAAGGTTATATACCTTGTGGACAGTCTCTTGTATCTTTCTTGAGCTGTGTCCAGCCGCCCGATGGCAGCTTGTAAGCTTGTGGCATCACCTGAGGAGGATTTAAGTCCGGACATGAGGGAGGAAACTCGTTCCCATTGTTCCTCCAGGTTATCACATAGCTCATCTTTCGTGGTGTGATAATTTTTCAATTACCTTTACCATCGGTTTGAGAGAACGTCTTGGTCGCACGACTTGTTCTGCTGGAAGTGTGGATTCTGTTCCCTGCCCTTCATGATGATCAGTATCAGGTTGCATTTGCTTTATTTCATCACTGGGGAACTGTGCAAAGTCCTTTTCGGCCATTTTGACTTAAGGTGCGCTGTCTCTTTAAGAAAATGAACTTTTGAATTGGACGCTGAAAATCGCCGCACGGCTCCGATAGGGCACTTTGATAAAATTTCTAAGATGTTTAGAGTGAATTGCGGGGTTTTGGCGCGGCCACAACAATGTAAGGAGCGTGCATAAACAGTACTTCTATTATGCGAGCAAAGGTTAATAGGATGTAAAGAATGGCTTGGCGAGTTGTGGAGGACTTCCAGGCGAGAGTATAGATACTGCGTATGCGCAGTGCTTCCGCATAGGCTTGTGGAACATGCACTGTAGCCGGGCAGATTTGCTGCAAGTGGGCCTGTTGCTAGGGAGATTCCTGAGTGTGGTACTGGACTCTGAGGGAATCTGTAGCGGGGTATGGACTTTAAAGGCAGTTTTTGACTGTTCTGTCCCCACATGAAGGCGAATGAAGGTATAACTGATAATGGCTGTGTAACTTCCTACCTTCGTATCCAAGCAGTGGAGCAGACCGGACCGGCAGATGTTCAGGTTAGATGGATCCAAACGTATACACGGGAATGAAATCAGCGTGGGGTTATTTGGTCCAAATACAGCGACAAACAGTGATACAATACTGTAAGGTAGTAGAGGTATTGATGCTGTCCTGTGATATCTTTCCTGAGGCTAACTGCTGGTCAAAAACTGATGCCTTCACAAGCCCAGGGTATTGAATGTCCTGTCACACAGCTATATAGCAGATAAAAATGGCTGCAGGAAGTGACCAGAACCAAGGCTTGCCTAAAACCACACCCAGCAGAGAAAACACTTACTAGCTATAACAGAGGCATGCAGCATGAAGGGAGATGAAGAAAGAGCTGGGAGGCAATACAGGCTGTGTTCTTTCTTCCCCGCCTCCTTCCTGTCACTGCAGCGCTCCTGTATTCGGAAGCCATTTGGCATCTTTGCCCTGGTAGCTGGGTCGCTTTGTCCAGGCACTGCCCCTGCCCACCTTACATTGCAATCCAATGGTACAGCGAGGCTAAGCCAGGGGTCTGCAACCTTTAAGACATAAAGAGCCACTTGGACCCGTTTCCGAGAGGGAAAAAAAGACTGGGAGCCGCAAAACCATTGCAACATTTAAAACAAATCCGACACTGCATATATTGCGAAAAGCGCTCTGGTCATGAAGGGGGTTTAAGGGCCCAGTAAGCAAAGGGTTAACCAGGGCCACAGTGTATCGTCATAATCACAATCATAGCCTTAGGTCAGTGGTGGGCAACCTTTTTTTTCAACTGAGCCAAATCTCGCCAAAACCACGATTGAAATTTATTTTGAGAGAAACATTTTTAAAACTGAAAATACATCCCCCATATAGTAATTCATCCCCCATAGTAATTCATCCCCCATATAGTAATTCATCCCCCCATAGTAATTTATCCCCCATATAGCAATTCATCCCCCCTATAGTAATTCATCCCCCCTATAGTAATTCATCCCCCCTATAGTACTTCATCCCCCCTATAGTAATTCATCCCCCCTATAGTAATTCATCCCCCATAGTAATTCATCCCCCATAGTAATTCATCCCCCATATAGTAATTCATCCCCCATAGTAATTCATCCCCCATATAGTAATTCATCCCCCATAGTAATTCATCCCCCATATAGTAATTCATCCCCCCTATAGTAATTCATCCCCCATAGTAATTCATCCCCCATATAGTAATTCATCCCCCATAGTAATTCATCCCCCATATAGTAATTCATCCCCCCTATAGTAATTCATCCCCCATATAGTAATACATCCCCCATAGTAATTCATCCCCCATATAGTAATTCATCCCCCATATAGTAATTCATCCCCCCTATAGTATTTCATCCCCCCTATAGTAATTCATCCCCCTATAGTAATTCATCCCCCATATAGTAGTTCATCCCCCATATAGTAATACATCCCCCATATAGTAATACATCCCCCATATAGTAATTCATCCCCCATAGTAATTCATCCCCCATATAGTAATTCATCCCCCATAGTAATTCATCCCCCCTATAGTAATTCATTCCCCCTGTGTCAATTCACTTACCTTTGCTCCGCGCGTTCCTCTAGCTGTGTTCCCGCGCCGTTCTGGTCTTCAGGGCGGACTGTGAGAGGAGAGGAGTTCGTCACGCTGCCCCACCTACATCCTGACAGCCAATGTTTGGAGGAGGGAGGGGAGCGGGCGCCCGGCACATAGAAGAGCTGCATTAAAAGAGCCGCGGCTTGCCGACCCTATTGCCTGTCACCTGGTGGGCAGTGTGCTCCGGAGCCGCAGGAAAGGTGAAAAAGAGCCGCATGCGGCTCCGGAGCCGCGGGTTGCCGACACCCGGGCTAAGCGAATGGCATTAGTCAGAAGAAACACAGAGCAATTCTCAAGAGATGAAAGGAAAGAAAATAGCGCAGGGCAGACATGACTAGGCTAAGAGGGGGTTAAAAAGACAGGAAAGGGTAAAAGAAAAAGGAAGAGGTGGGATTTAGTATATGGCCAAGTACCTGATTGGTAACTGGGAGGTGTAAGGTGGGGTCTTTGACACCTTTTGGGTGTGGATGGGGGAGGGTCGTCTAACAGTTCAGGAAGAGACAGCTGAGAGTGAGCTTCCCTCCTGCCCTCCCTTGGGTTTGTGTGGGTGTTTTGTCACTCCCTGGGGGGGTTGTTCAGGTTCCGGGGGCGGTTGTTGGTCTTTGGAGGCGGCACTTATTTTGAAGCTAACGATAATGGTTTGGGACCCATCGGCGGTATGTTGTGCCCGGGGGCATTCCAGGTCTAACCGGAAGGCGGTGGTTCTGCACTGCAGATGGTATGTTTTATCTCCGAGCCGGTGCGTTGCGGATGGAGGCCTAGTTATAGTATTGGTTCCGCAGGTGGATATCGGTTCTGGTTTGGTGCCTTCGAAGACCAACAACTTCTCATATATGTTTTTGTTATTTTCTGTTATATTCTGTAAGGAATATTTTGTGTATTGAAGATGAAGTGTTAATAAAAGGCCGTGTTGGCCATTTTACTCCAAGCCAGGGGTGGACTGACCATTTGGAAACTCGGGCACTGCCCGAGAGCCCGGGGTCAGTAGGTGGCCCCATGAGATGCCCCTGGTACCTTTTTTTGATAAGCTTTTTTGAATTTGGGCAAGGACACAGGGGCCCCATGATCCCCTATTGCCCAGGGGCCCCATGAGTTGTCAGTCCGCCCCTGCTCCAAGCAGTGTTATGTTTTTCTTTAACTAGTTGCCGACCGCAGATAGCCGAATGACGGCTTCACTGCGGCCGGCCAGTTCTGGGTGGACGTCATATGACGTCCCCCCAGAACGCGCTCTCCTGCGCGCCCCAGGGGGCGCGCACCCGGCGATCTCCGTGATCGCTGTGGCCTACAGACACAGCTGATCACGTGATGTGGTAAAAGGCCGATCCCAGCGGCCTTTTACCACGTGATCAGCGGTGTCCAATGACACGCTGATCAGAGGGAAATGCAAGTGCCGGTTCTCGGCTGCACTTTCCTCACGCTGTCAGATCGTGAGGAAAGTACTGCCGAGAACCGGCAGTTGTCAGAGCGGGGATCGGCACCGATCATCAGGGCACTGATGATCAGTGCCCTGATGATCGGTGCCCAGCAGTGCCACCCGCAAGTTCCGCCCACCTGTGCCCAGCAGTGCGCCCACTAGCTCCGCCCACCTGTGCCCAGCAGTGCACCCACCTGTGCCCAGCAGTGCACCCACCTGTGCCACTCTGCAGTGTCACACACCTGTGCCCAGAAGTGCACCCACCTGTGCCACTCTGCAGTGTCACACACCTGTGCCCAGAAGTGCCACCTACCTGTGCCCAGAAGTGCCACACACCTGTGCCCACCCACCTGTGCCCACCCACCTGTGCCGCCCACCAGTGCCACCCACCAGTGCAGCCCAGCAGTGCTGCCAGTCAGTGCCATCAGTCAGTGCCCAGGGGTTGTGCCAGTCAGTGCCGCCAGTCAGTGCCCAGCAGTGATGCCAGTCAGTGCCGTCTATCAGTACCCATCATCAGTGTCACCTATCAGTGCCGCCTATCAGTGCTGCATATTAGTGCCGCTTATCCGTGACACCTCATTAGTGCTGCCTATCAGTGCCCTTTAGTGCCGACTATGAGTGCCCATCAGTGCCGCCTATCAGTGCCCATCAGTGCTGCCTCATCAACGCACATCAGTGAAGGAGAAAAAATACCTGTTTGAAAAATTTTATAATAGAAGCAAAGAAATTTTTTTTTTTTTTTTTCAAATTTTTTGCACTTTTTTTATTTATAGCGCAAAAAGTAAAGTGCCCAGTGACAATTAAATACCACCAAAAGAAAGCTCTATTTGTGAGAAAAAAATGATCAAAATTTCATATGGGTACAATGTTGCATGACCGCGCAATTGTCAAAGTGCGGCTGCACTGAAAGCTGAAAATTGGCCTGGTAAGGAAGGGGGTATAAGTGCCTGGTAGGCAAGTGGTTAATGATCGGTTAAAGGGGGGGTATGTGAGAGAGTGAGATGGTGGTGGTGTAGGGGGTCTTGACTAGCCTATCTCTTGTTCACTAGTCATGCTATCAAGTTGAATAGATAAGAGGCAGCAAGGTCTACAGGAGTCTATGGTGCTTCATGCTCAATGGCAATTATCCACAATCTTGATGAGTTTTGATAGTGTTTTTGGGCATGTCAGGGCTCCCCTGCTCCCTGTGTTGTGTCAAATGTTTCTGTTACTTAGAATTGAGAAAGTTTCAAGGCAATGACTTGATTGGTCCTGTGAATTAATTCTTCTTGGGGATGAGTGATAAAACGCTTAGAGAAGTCATTTTAATGCTTTCTACATATTAGTGACAATGGGGAAAGACTGACATCTGCCTGCCTGGAGGCTTGAAGGTAGTAATGACTTCCCTTTCGTTATTATATCTGCTCTTGGAGAACAGAGGAGCAGAGGTTCACTCTTCGACAGGGGCGGACTGACAACTCATGGGGCCCCTGGGCAATAGGGGATCATGGGGCCCCTGTGTCCTTGCCCAAACTCAAAAAAGCCTATGAAAAAGGTACCAGGGGCATCTCATAGGGCCCACTACTGACCCCGGGCCCTCAGGCAGTGCCAAAGTTTCCAAATGGTCAGTCCGCCCCTGCTCTCCAATAGAAGAAAAAAAAAAAACAAAAAAAAAACAAAAAAACCAAAAAACGTGCTTCTAGGTAAAGTGCAATAAAAAAAAGTGTGTCAGCTACATAAAATTGTGTTCAATTCTGAAACAATGTCACAATTTCCTGTCCTCTTTTTCCCATGCCCAGGGGCAGACTGACAGCTCATGGGGCCCCCGGGCAATAGGGGATCATGGGGCCCCTGTGTCCTTGCCCAAACTCAAAAAAGCCTATGAAAAAGGTACCAGGGGCATCTCATAGGGCCCACTACTGACCCCGGGCCCTCGGGCAGTGCCAAAGTTTCCAAATGGCCAGTCCGCCCCTGCTCTCCGATTGAAGAAAAAAAACCAAAAAAAAACGTATTTCTAGGTAAAGTGCAATAAAAAAAGTGTGTCAGCTACATAAAATTGTGTTCAATTCTGAAACAATGTCACAATTTCCTGTCCTCATTTTCCCATGCCCAGGGGCAGACTGACAGCTCATGGGGCCCCCGGGCAATAGGGGATCATGGGGCCCCTGTGTCCTTGCCCACACTCAAAGCACACCCAAAAAAGCCTATAAAAAGGTACCAAGGGCATTTCATGGGGCCCCCTACTGACCCTGGGCCCTCGGGCAGTGCCCGAGTGCTCGAATGGTCAGTCCACCTCTGCCCATGCCTGTTAGATGTTGCACCCTCCTAGATAAGTTGCTAGGATGATCAGGTAAATGTAGCTCTTTTTGGCTCCTCAGTAATCAGTGGAACAGTTTTGTGATCGCTTTGGGCTGTTCTGGACTTCACTGTTTGCAGGTTTGTTTCCCTCTACCTTCTGGAGGATTCTAGAATGTAGTGGGTTGCAGTCTGAATATGTTACATAGTTACATAGTTAGTCTGACTGAAAAAAGACAAAAGTCCATCCAGTTCAACCATAGAAAAAAAAAAAAGTTATGATCCTACACCCACATTTGACCCAGAGGAAGGCAAAAAAAAAAAACAGCAAAGCGTGATCCAATTTGCTCCTGCTGGGAAAAAATTCCTTCCTGATCCCCCCGAGAGGCAACCTGATATTCCCGGAATCAACTTTCCCTATAAATGTTATATCCAGTTATATTCTGCGTATCCAAGAAAGGATCCAGGACTTTCCTACAGCAATCCACTGAGCTGGACACAACCAACTCTGGAGGGAGTCTATTCCACATTCCCACAGCTCTCACTGTGAAGAAACCTTTCCGTGTTTGGAGATGACATTTCTTTTCCTCCAGATGTAAAGAGTCCCCCCTTGTCCTCTGTGATGACCTTGGGGTGTATAGCTCATATGTATGTTGTTTCAGCCAATTCCTGGGGAAGGGTGCCCAGTAGGTGGCCGAGGAGAGCATAATTAGTCTGGGGCCTGGAGAAGCCTTGTTCTTGTCCAGTCTGAAGGGCTGCTGCCCTTCTGGGCAGCCCAGCTGGAGTTTATGCATGCTCATCAAGGTTCCAGCTAGGTCAGAGCTGGGGGGGGGGGCTATCTTCTAAGAATCTTTGGAAACAATGAAGGGCATTTCACTGGGAATCTGGTCTGGAGAGCTTATGGGTCAACGTCTGGCTGATATTGGAAGGAGGCATCTAAGTATCCAGGAGCATTGTGAGTACAGAGCTGGAGACTGTTTGCTCTTTGTTTCTGTTGTGCACCAGTGCCAGTAATTACTTGAACTGGGACTCTTCTGGGATTGGGACTATTCCTACCTATCTAACTTCCTAACTATCCCTTAGTTTCTACTAACTGTTTTAAGAACTATTGAATAAAGTGAAGAGTGTCCTCATATTACTGTAGAGAGTTGCTGGAGTATCCCACAGCTCCCTGCACCCCATCCAACTTTATTCAGAAACCTCGAAAAGATAAACCCCTAGACTGATCATTGAGCCGGAGTGTGTGACTGTTGCCATGTGCCTGGCTACCTATGCACTAATCTGGGAGAAGAACCTGCAGGCAATCAATGGTCCTTATGGGGTGAGCCCTACATATAGATAAAAATATTTACGCCTCATGTACACATGAACTCTTCTAGACGTTAAGCTCTCCTGGCAGCAGAAAAATGCTAAATGTGGTAAAAAACGTGCGTTTAGCGCTTGGGTATTTTTACATTTGATTGGCCAGAGTATTTTTCATTGACATGAATAAATGCCTAACTGCTAAACGCGGCTAGTGTTTAGACGTGTTTTAGAAGTGTTTACACGCGTTTAGCATTTTTTGGGCAAAACGTTCCTGTCCTGAGCACCATTCTTCTGCGTTCAGGAGAGGAAAGTGTAACTGCCCCTAAACTCTGGTGCCCCTAAACTCTGGTAAAAGCCTATGTGTACATGGACACGTAGGATTTTATTGCGTAGAGTTCGAGAATTCGACCCATGTATGGCCATGTACGTGGATACCTTGATCGAGGCCCCCCTACAACTTGTGCCCTCTCTATGACACCCAATGCCTGGCTTTGCAGAAGCCTAAAAGTGATGTTTACAGCAACTTCAGCCCTTCCAATACAATAATACGGGAGAAATCCAGACTTTTGTGCACACAACAAAATGAGAATATGGCAGGACCAGTGCTGGGACAAGGCCCTTTAGCCCCCAAGGATAAAAGGCCAAAGTGCATTCCTGTCCCCTCCTTGTAAGTTGCAAAATATTTCAGCAGCATAGGTTGTGGGTTCTGATCTGTTTGTGTTTCTTCCTGCTGAAACTTCCAAGGCAGCTTGCCTCTTCTGCCTACTACTTGGCCCAGTCTTGGACAGGATGCTCAATTCTACCAAGGATGGAAATTCACGGTAGGAGCTGTAAAAATGTGGAATAGACTCCCTCCAGAGTTGGTTGTGGCCAGCTCAGTGGATTGCTATAGGAAAGTCCTGGATTCTTTCTTGGATACACAGAATATAACTGGATATAACATTTATAGGGAACGTTGATCCAGGGAATATCCGATTGCCTCTCGGGGGATCAGGAAGGAATGTTTCCCCTGCAGGAGCAAATTGGATCGTGCTTTGCTTGGTTTTTTTGCCTTCCTTTGGATCAACTGTGGGTGTAGGATTATAATTGTGTTTTTTTTTTTTTTTTGGGTTGAACTAGATGGACTTTAGTTTTTTTTTCAGCCAGACTAACTATGTAACTATTATAGTTAACTAATTATAAAATGCAATTTCTCCAAATTTCAGCGCTCCTTGCCATAGTTTTTTCCCAATCCTAGAATCACTATTGAGATCTTTGTATATTGTAAAAATATCCCCTCTTAAGTGTCTCTTCTCTAGGGAGAAAAAAAAAAATATTTTTTGTAGTAGTTCCTCATAACTGAGGTTCTTCATTCCCCATAACTGAGGTCCTCCATCCCCCCTAACTGAGGTACTCCATCTCCCTATTACTGAGGTCCTCAATCTCCTATAACTGAGGTCCTCCATCCCCCTAACTGAGGTACTTCATCTCCCTATTACTGAGGTCCTCCATCCCCCCCTAACTGAGGTCCTCCATCCCCCTATTACTGAGGTCCTCCATCCCCCATAACTGAGGTCCTCCATCCCCCATAACTGAGGTCCTCCATCCCCCATAACTGAGGTCCTCCATCCCCCATAACTGAGGTCCTCCATCTCCCCATAACTGAGGTCCTCCATCCCCCCTAACTGAGGTACTCCATCTCCCTATTACTGAGGTCCTCAATCTCCTATAACTGAGGTCCTCCATCCCCCTAACTGAGGTACTTCATCTCCCTATTACTGAGGTCCT